TCCAACTCCCCAACCCCCTCTGCGCGGTTCCGGGAAAAATGAAGCCTGGGCATAAAAAGAAAAGACCCACCAACAAGATGCATTTGGCTGCGATCTGCTTCTTTTGCGTGTGGGGGTGGGGTAGGGTGGGGATTGGGCGTGGGGAGAGGATCGTGAGCCTATAAAGGGGGAAAATAAAGACCCAAATGCTAGTGTTCTGATAAAAATGAAAAACAAAGCGACTCCAAGAAAATTATAAAAAAAATAAACTTGATACCCTCCCCAAACACTAAAAGATAAAAATAAAAACAAATATAAGAATTCCTAAGTATGGTCCTCTGCATAAGCTGTTTAAATCTTTCAAACCCTCCCTGGCGTCTGGCCTGGGTTATCGGATCTATCAACAGACTCAGATTTGAGAGTAAGGTCCCGCGGTCCGCGGAGGCCTCCATGCCCGGACTGGCAGCTTGGTGCTCTTTCCAAATGTCACTGACCTCCATCTTTGTTGCCCAAACGCCTGCTCCTCAGGACTAGGCCTGCAGCCCGGAGCACAGTATCCCTAGGCCTAGTGGCCGCCAGGATTTCAAGTGGAAATCGAGTGATGCCCGGCGGGGCTGAGCCCAGACTTGGCTGCTGACGAGAGGCGTCAGATTCCGCAGTCAGCTCCCAGCCAGAGCCTCTTAAACCCCTTGATTGGAGCTTTTGGCCTAGTCTGAGGGAGGTAGGGCTCCGCCGGGTGCACGCCATTGTTTGGTGTTTTGGAACACGATTCCAGATTGCCTGAGGACTCTCCTGGGGAGCAGACCCCACTAAGGTTGATCCTCCTTTCTCTCAACACCAGCATCGCGGGAATTGTCCAGTCCAAGCCAGAGGCTTGGCTTCGCGCCCCTTCCCCCCACCCCAGCACCCTGCGCCAGGACCAGCGCACTAGCACTGATGGATAGATGGATGGATGAGTCACGGATCCTGCCATTATCCCGCCCTCCTGCTTCCAGAAGAAGGGGCTTGGAAGATGCTTCTTGAATGGAGTTTCCAGACCCACAGACTGGCGTCTAGACCCGAGGGTCGCCTTGGGTGAGCCAGTGCCACTGCCAAACTGTTGTCCTTAAAAATACGGATGCGCATTCTCGGATCTATCAAGATGAGCTATTGAATTTATATCTGGATTAATGTGGAAAGAACGTAGTCACGTCGGAGTGAGCGCGTGGGAGGGTGCATGGTTGCGGGGGAATTGTGGTTTAGAGTTGGGCCTTGTCTTCTATAGGGATCCCGGCTACAACGAAAAGGCGAGTGCACAGCTGGCCGCTTTAGAACCACGCTCACGCTTTAGAGCTACGGCTTGGGGAGGCCTCTTTCTTCTATGCGCCTCCCATGGGCGGTTGGTGTGCCCTTTCCAAATATAAAACAAAAAGATCCTTCAGCAGACGAGAGGCTATGCTTACGAGGTGTGGAGCGGCGGGGCTGTAGGTCTGGGTGGAAGCTTCACGGAGTCCTGAGGTGAAGCATGCGATGTGCCAGTTATGCACCAACGCCATGCTTGTGCGTTTGTGTGGCGAGAAGCAGCCTCCATTTTGAGGCAGGGTAGGAAGAACAGTCAGCCTCCCTATATTCACAGAGGCATCCAGAGGCTGGAGTCATTGGGCAAGCTGGTCCCACCAAGGGAACTGGGGAGGACCAACCGCCCTCTGGGGTCTGCAAAGTGGAGCTGATTCTTCTTTACCACCAGCCAATTTTTGACCCCTGGATTGCTCGCTTTCCAATACAACCTGGGCCCAGAGCCACAGAGGACCCCATTGGGCAAGGGCTGGGGGACCGGTTAGTTGGAAGAGGTCTCCTACACATAGGTCCATTGTCCAACCCATTAGAAATGGCTTGTGGGTCACCTGCACCTGGAGTTAATCCCCCCTTCTTCCTTCAGCAAGTATTTTAAGAGAGGATGCTGGGTGTTTCCAGTTTTACTGAGAGCACCTCGGAAACTTAGCAAGCCTTTCAAGGTAAGGGCTATTCATCCGTTTGTACAGATGAGGAAATAGGCACAAAGACAAAGGAAGTTGTTCAGAATCAAAGGGTTGTAAAGCCAGTATTCTAAATGAACTTTGCATAATTCTGCTACCCAGACTGTCCTCCTACTGCCCAGTGCTGAAGACTCCTTCAACAATCTACTGCCCTGGGGTGGGTCCTCAAGAAGGGGAATGCACAATGAAAAGGAATCTGAAAAGATTCAGAGGGAGTGTGACCCAACTTCAATAGTAACCCAGGCTGAAAAGGCTAAGATCTTCCTTTATTATTATTATTATTATTTTGTATTCTGCACTGAACCCAGGGCCTCCGGCATGCTAGACAATCTCTCTGCCACTGTATTTCATTCCCAGCCCTCCTTCCTTTACTTTGGGAGAATGTATCCTCAGAGGTCAAGGAAAAAATGCACTTAGGGTCTATGGGAGGAAGAGTCATTCTGTAGCCAAGGCACTGTGGACTTCCTTTTGCCAGAACCAGAGCTGTTTCACTTAATAAAACCCCACCCTGACCACAGGGGCTGCCAGTGACTGACACAGGTGACCCTGACAAGGAGGGATTAGTGGTAAATGACATCCTGGTCATTTCAGGTCTATAATCACCTCCTCATCATTAAATGGGGAAGGGCAAAAGAGATTTATGAAGGTTTGATTTGCCTTTTATCTCCGTTATGTGTCTAAATAGATCCTCTGTGTTTTATATTTAATATTTTCACTATATTTTTATAAATATAATGGCATTGCTATGTGTATATACATTTATAAAAGTATACCCCTTGAAGATGTGCACAGGCTGCCCTGCATATAGGGAGATTCTATGTCTCTCTGGTTTAGAAGGCTCCGCCTAACAGGGTGGAGGGTCATTTTTGACTCCCACCTTCTAAAAGTCTACAGCTGGCAGCTATTTCATTTACATGTGCCCAGAAAATTTATTGGTTCTATACATCATGCTAATAGAATGGAGAAGGTGGTAGAGCTCAGTATTCACAATTGTCTTGGCAAAAGGAAATACCCACCCATGATGAGGTGTGATGTGATGAGGTAGTGTGTGGGTCTGGTAGGACTCAGTTTCTCCATCTCTGGAGGCCCTACAGATTTCCTTAATGAAACCAAACTGACCGTTCACACGTTGCACTATGGATATCCCACAGCCTATAGAATGGAATCTAATTTAATCCCAGGTGCCCAACAGGTCCACTCACCTGCTGGAATACCTGATGGTGTATTGCCTTGATTCAAGCCTGAGCCCAGAGCAGCAGTGCCACCTAATATCCTGGTGACCACACCAGGTCACAGTAGTATTTCCCAAACCAAGATCCCTGCGGTTATGCTGAAGAAGGTTGTCCCTTACCTTCTTGTGAGAGTGCCTCCCTGCTATACCCTAGTCCTGAAAGCCTACGGGCCTCTGGTGGCGACCGGCTAGAGCTCAGATTTGATAAACTCAGATCTTCAGGAGAAGGAGGAAATCGGCTCTGGCCAGTCCCCTCCAGAGGCCCGGTGGCTTCTAGGATAGGTACTCAGGAAGAAGAAGATGGGAAGAGGCAGCGAAAGGAAGCTGAGCTAGCGATCCGAAGATGGAGCTCTGGCGAGCGGTTACCCGCGAAAGCGGACTCCGGGATGGCCAGCGGCAGCCGACTGCAGCCTCCGGCCGAGGCCTGGGGACCGGCTGGGGGTAAGACCCTAGAGACTCCTTTCTCCTCCCTTCTCAATGGGCGAGGCCCAGATCAAGTGAAAGCAGACCGCTCAGCTACGTAAAAGACTGGCTTTGGGGGCCTGGGAGCCTCGGCCTCCCTGGGCGCTTGCAGGAAGAGAGTGCTGGGAAGGCGAGTTCCGCGCTGAGAAATGGCCGGGAAAGAAGACAGGAGAGCGAGCGGCAAGGCAAAAGGCAAGGCGGGGGAAGGCGGCGCCGAGAGCCAGCTGGGCCCTGGCGCCGCTAGGAAGTGGGAACCCGAACAGCAAAGCACAGGCTGGCGAGCACGGCGCGCGCCACCCCCAGAGAGCGGTGCCCTCTCCCGGGAGCAACTCCTCAGGATCCCTATTGCCGGGGATGGGAGACAAGGCTGGGCAGGAGGAGAGGAAGTACTGCAGCTTAGCGGAGCCCGGGCCTCTTCCTCACGCGGTTGTCCACTCTGGTTTCCCCCCACGTCCTGTCCCTGCAGAGCGCATGTGATGCTTTTCTCCGTACTTGCCCTAAGGGACACGGGACAAGAACCCGGCTCTCAGCATCCTGCTCCCCAGACTCATTTCTGTCTCCACCACAGTAACCAACCGGGATGGGCCTAGAGAGAGGGGCCGGGCCAAGAAAATGAGAACAGTAAGGCGGAGAAACGGGGACTTCTTCCATTCGCTGCTTTGTCCCTTGCACTCAGCTCAGTGTCCAGCACACAATAGACGCTCAAAATAATATTTGCTGAAGAAAGGCTGGATGATGAATGAATGAATATATGAATTGGAAGGTGGAGGCGTCAGGAAAGTCGGAGACCCTGATAGGGATAGGGTACGAGCCCAGTGGACCAGAGTCCTGGGCTGTCGTCTTACCTCGTACCAGGATGCGGCGGCAGTGGTCCGCCTCGCCGGGCCCGGACTGCCCATCACTGTCTGCGCTGCCCTCCTTGGAGCCCGCAGGGCTGGAGGCCGAGGTCCCGGCAACCTCTTTTGGGCTTCCGCCACCCCCGTCAGCTTGCAACTCCACCGCTCCGCTAAGATCCCCGTTGCGCCCACTGCCGCTACCAGACTCCGCCCGGCGTGCAGGGCCGCGGTCGCGCTCCGCGCCCCCATCGCCCATGTCGGCCGCCACTGCCGCCTTCGCGGCAGCCTAGCCCGCCTGGGCTGGCCGAGCCCGCGGCTCCCCGCCCCTCGCGCCCCCCTCCCTACAGCTCTTCCGTCCGCTCCGCCCCTGGCTGGCTGCTCCTCCCCTCCCTGCTGATTGGGCAGGAGTCAGGGTTCTCGGGCTCTCGGTGGCTCATTGGGGCTCTGCGCCTTGCGGGAGGCGGAGAGGGGACGAGGAGGGGGAGGGGGTGGTGACCCCACTCTTCCACCCCTAGTTCTGTCTTGCTCGTAGCCCGGCAGAGGGAGGCTGGGTCTGCCTTGGGGTTCTGAGGAACACCCTACACCCTTCTCCTAAAGTTTATCAACCTCCCCTCACTACCCCCTTAGTCTACTCCCCTCCCCACTCTCTTCGTCCCTAGGGAAGCGCAGTTCCGCGCTCCCGCCGGTTCAGCTGGATCAATAACCAAAGTGCGCGAGGAAGGCGACCCAGGCGAGATTGAGCAGAGAACTGGAGGTTGGACTTGCTCGAGCGCTTGGCGGGGTCGGGTGGGGTGGAGACAGGGCCGCAGGCCGGGGGTTCAGTGCGCCTCTCTGCAGATTCATACCCACACTTACACGCATGAACACAGAACACAAGCCCCCTCCTGCCCTTCTAGGAGAGCAAGAGCTCTCCTGGTGTAAATGAGCCTGGGAGGATGGGGCCAGGAGAAGACCGATACACCCGCACCCTGGGGTGTGTATGTGTTTGTAAGTAAGGGAGGGGTGACGTGTGAACAGACAGCCAGGTCCCGGAGTCAAGAGTGAGACTGAGATCTTGGCAGGCAGCAAACGTCCCGTCTCCCCTAAACCTCTGGGAGTTTTGCTCAAGAGAACTGCACCTAGAAACAGAGATAGAACTCCTTGTGCATTTCCTTTCGCTTTCTCTTGCGAAGCTCCCCCTGCTCCTTGCTCTGCATCCAGCCTCCTGGGACCCAGTCCCAGCTGGGATGCGGGCAAGCAGCGTGGGACCCGAGGTGGGCCAGGATAGAGCCGGGGAGGATCTGGCTATGAAAAGCTGGGCATTGAGGGTCCCTGGGCACAGCACTTGGCTTTCTGAGACGTCCACGTGGGCAGTATTTTCGAGTTTATCTTCACTCTAGACAGTGCCAGGAGGTGCCAGCCCGGATTTCCCTTTCTTTGACTCAGAAAGGGGCAAGAAAGAAAGAATGCCCAGGGAAGGTGTGCGTGCAAATATGTGTGTGCCATAGGGGCTGTGCCCCATCCCCCAAATGCTCTAAGCTCAGAAGTTCTTAGCCTTCTCTGAAATGCTGGAGTGTCAGATGCTAAATACTAGCAAAGGTGTTTCGGTATGTACCAGGATCTGGTGAGAGTGAGGCTGTGGATTCCTTGGTGTATTTGTGGCAAGGCTGAGTGCCTCCGTGACTCCTGTGAGGGGTAAGGGTAAGCACAGTGTGTTTGTAGTGTGCATATGAGCCATTGTGTGTGTGTGTGTGTGTGTGTGTGTGTGTGTGTGTGTACGTGTCCAATTCCAGGTGGCCCTAGTCAAAAGAGAGGTGGGTGGGGGCTCACCAGTTACTTAATTGGGAGATTCTCAATGACTTCTTTAAGAATTTGGGACCTAGGAAGAGAGGAGGGTAAAGAAGACAGAGGAGAAGGCTTGCTGGTCAATACTAATGGAAAAAAGACAGGAGAGAGTGAAGGAGGAAGGAAAAGAGGAAGAGAAGAAGGAAATACAGCCACAAGTTATATGAGTGGGTGATTGCAGAAGGGGTATTGGGCCCAGAATAGGTGGCAGTTGTGTGCGGTGGGAGAACAATGTGGACTAATTGTAAGAGCTGAGAGTTGTAAGTCCAGGGAACCTGGTTGTTGGAGTGTAGGGAAAACAGGTGAGAAAGGAAGTTTATTGAATTACAGAATGGCTCTGGGGGAAGTGTGACCCAGCCAAATCAAGCTTGGCTGAAGGGGATTCCTGCAGCTTACGTGCTGTGAGCCCTGCACTGGGCCCCTCCTGGCCTGGCCCCTGGAAGATAGCCAAGCTCCTCTAGGACCCCCACCAGGGCCAGCACCACCCCCTCCCCCAGTCGGATGCTGGCCATCTTATCTGATAGCCACCTCCACTCTGCACTCCAGCATTTCTCCTCTCTGGTTTTCAAGTATATTTATTTTTATCCAAGCAAGATGTGTCCAACATAGAATTCTATCACAAACAGAAAGCACCCAACATCATCTCCCCACCCCCAGACCTCACATTCCCTCTGCCACACAGAGGCCTGGGTTTCTGTGCAAACACAAGTGGAACAGCACCTGCTGGACTCTGGGAGGTTCTGTTTCCACCGTCTTCATTTTTTATTTCACCAGTGGCAGTTTTCCGACTCAGAGATCCATTCCAGCGTGCTTTTCTGGGGTCCATGGCTGAGTTTCTGAGCTCACTCACTGGTGAGTAGGGCCATTCTCTCGGGAGAGGCTGGTGGCCTCCGGGGTCTAGTCCTGCGAAGCCAGAACCTGGGAGGTTCCAACAGCTTCCAGTCACTGGTTGTGGGGAAACTCTGCCAGGCCCGCTGGTGTTGTCTTGGGAGTTCCCAGACTCCTTTCTCCCGCGCCCTTTATTCTGCCTTTTCTCTTATTCGTTTTACGTGGTATGGAATTCGGCCTCGGCAGAAATTTCGGTTCTTTCTTCCCCGAAGGCCTGGGCAGCCCAGTGCGCACAGGAATCTGATGAGGAAGTCAGGGCTTCTGCGCAGAGTAGCGTACCGATGTGGGGTGGGGACTGGGTCTCCTCTCCAAGCAGCACCCCTAACGGAGACCTCAGGCCGAGGTTGGAATCTGGGCAGACGCTTGAACCCAGGCTTTCCAACTCCAGGCCGCTCGGGCCTCCCCTACGATTTCCCGGGCTCGCTGCCCTTAAGTCCCAGCTCCTTACCCAGGAGGCTGGCTGTGCGCGGTCACAGAGTTCCCACTAGCGCGTCCTTCTATTCCGGGAGACAGCGTCCTTCCGCCGTACCTCCTGCTGGTCCTGGATCAGCAAGGCTTAGTGCCCTTGTACCAGGATATGGCCTCTTGGCTAGGTGGTGCGTCTGGCTGAGCGGAGGGCCAGGTAGTGGGTTGTGGAATGATGTCTGTCTCTTCTGAATATGACGTGGCTGGGGCGCCCACCTTGAAGCGACGTCTGGCTCTGGGGTCCCCAGCTGTCTAGCGTAAGAGAGACGCAGAATTGGAGGCGTTGAGTCCGTTTGGATCGAATTTGCTGGGATGGGAATTTCTGGTTGGGACCAGAGAACCAGTGTCCTAAGTTTACTGATCTCGCCTTCGTGATCAGTCTCACTGACATCCCAATCTGGCCAAGACCCTAGGGACTCCGAGAGAATTTCCTACGGCCTCTGCCTCCTCTAATTTTTTGGAAATCTCTGCCTCCTCTAATTTTTTGGAAATCGACTGAGGAACCTGAATATGAGGGAGGTGGGAAGAGGATCCCAGCAGGTAAGGGGCAGGGCAATGACCTAAACTCAGTGGCTCTGCCCTATTGAAACTCCAGTGTAGTCCTTCCATGGTTCCAGACAACCGCTGCAGCCTGATACATACAGCACAGTACAGCACAATGACGGATATTAGTTTCACCGCTCTGGAGGAAATAGTGAGCTTCCTCTTGCGGGAGGAACAGGTTCAGGGCCGGAGTCAGTTGCTGCATCCTGAACCCTGGACGGGAGGCAGGTGACACTACCATCATGCATTCCTTATACAGAATAACAGCAGGTCCTCTGCTGTCAGTGGAGAGGAATGGGGAAAGAGTCCGCAGGAAGGTCACCCCTTCTTTCAGCTTCATTCAAAGAACTCTTAGATCTGGATTTCTCCAAGAATCAGGCAAGCACTCTATCAACTGAGCTATATTCCCAATCCCTCTTTTTTTTTTTTTTTTTTGTGGTGGTGGTGGGGATTAAACCCAGGGCCTTGTGCACGTGAAGCAAGCACTCTACCAGCTGATCTGTATCTCCAGCCCCAGGAAACAGACTAACTTGGGAAAGTGGCCATCCTTTCTGGTCTGTCTTGCTTGGAATCATAATCCCAGCTGCCTCTACAGGGCATGGGCCTGTTCTGGTCATTCTTGAAGAACATCCGGTAGGGATCCATCCACCTCCTACTCACCTTTTGGCGGATGGAAAAAACTTTCCCAGGTTTCCTGACGCTGGGCGCTTGCTCCCAGTTGCCTATGGATAAATAACATCAGCCTTCCTCCCAGACCCCTCTAGGGTGAGAAATGTGAGGCCTGTTCTGGTGCTAGGGGAGAAAAGGTATGTGTGAGGAGGGTGTGAGGCAGACAGAAGACAAAGCTTACCTGGGTTCTTAAGGGTTATTCATTACCTTTCTTTGGAGCCAAATAATCCTTCAATGCCAGTTCCCCAATAGCTTCTGCCACAGCCTTCAGTTCTGCATCCCGGTCAAGTGCTCAGAGCCTGTGCCTGAGCCTGGTGTGGTGGGGGCATTCCTGTATACCCAGAGACCAGGGAGGCTGAGGCAGGGGAAGCCCCCGCAGGCTCAGCAACTTAGTGAGACTGTCCCAAAGTTTAAAAAAAAAAAAAAACAAAACTGTTTGGGATGTAGCTCAGTGATAAAGCACACCTAGATTTAATCCCTGGTACCAAAAACAAAAGTAAAAAGGCTGGGGGTGTAGCTCAGTGGTCCAGAGCCCCTGTGTTCAATCCCTAATGTGTTTGTGGGGGAACCTGTGTCTGCCCCCCTCTTTTGGTACTGGAGATTGGAACTCAGGAGTGCTTTACCACTGATCTACATCTTCAGCTGTTTTTTTTTTTTTTAATTGAGATAGGGTCTCCCTCAGTTGCTGAAGCTAGCCCCCAACCTACACTTCTGCCTCAGTCTCCTGGAATGGCTGGAATCACAGCCTGTGTCACTGAGTCCAGCTGTGTCTGACCCTTCTTTTTTGTCTGTATTCTTCAAGATGCTCTAACAGGTGTACCAGACCAGTTCTCCAGGCCTGAACCTGGACCCAGACCAGCCAGCTTTTTTTCTTGCTTCTAGACTCTTTCTGAGGCTGGGGCCAGGCAGGCCCCTCTACCCTGATACCAGGACTCAGGGGTGCCTTCCTGGTCACACACTGCCTTCTGGTCCTCCTTCTTGGGATCTCTGTCAATCTGTACATTTCTCTAATCTTTTGTTTTCTCAGCCTGTAAACCTCCCCACCCTTACCTGGAGGCTCAGAAGGGTCCAGTTCTCTGCCCTGCTCCACTTACTTTCTGTATGGGTCTCCCCCATGCCTCTCTCCTTCCCAAAAGTCAGTGGGAGATCTTTGGGCAGCAATTGCTTTGTCCCCAGAGAATTCAATTCCCAACACCATCACAGCTAGAATGGGAATTCCTCTGCAGCAAAGGTGCTAGGTACTTGGGGTGAGCAGAAAGAGACACTGTTGGAATTCTGACACAGTTTAGGAAGCACAAGAGAGATGAAAGAAAAGATCTATATCCTCTTTCTTTCTGCAACCTCCAGCCCTTGCCTAGAAGCTAG